CGGCGACTTAGCAAACGTTCTACAGCAACCACATCTCGTCGCTCACAAGCTCTACATCGACTTCGAGCCAGCCGCATATTTTTGTGGATTGAAGGTAATGACTTAGGCTAGCGTAGCGCAGTGACACGAGGTGCCGTTCAAGGCTATTTTGATCCAAAGAAGAACTGAACTCGCGAGCCGTTTCAGTGCAAAGAAAGGCTCTCAACCAGAGCACTTATAGCCGTTTTCGCTGCAAATGCTGGGCGTGTCTCTGGAATAAGTATGGCGCCACCCCTCCCCCCCCCCTTCCTGACCATGCCCCAGTATCTGTAGTGAAGACCGCGTTACCATATACGACCAATTAACCATTTCAGGCTATACGTTTACGAGAAGGCAGACCTATGGAGCTGGATATCAGCCCATATCAAGAACTCCCACAAGTCGAGCTGAGCGCTGGTGTCCTCCTTCGACAACCTTACACACCCACTATGGCTTTTCTAGCCACAAGCACCCCTTAAGAAACTCTGTGCAAAATATACGTATCGATCTGCAAAATATACGTATCGATCTATGTCATAGGTGTCTGATTGCCACTCGATGGCGTGTTGGAACTTCCTGGTGCTTTCTGCCAAAAATATGCAAATTTCTAGGAGAAGCTATCGGAAAACAATCCGACCACTCAGCTCCCGAAACTCCGCCCCTTGCGAGTGGCGTCCGGATGGCTGATTGGTCCATTGTTTTCTGATCTCTTTTCGAATTTGAAAAATTGTATGCGTTGTGCTGTGTTTTTGTTCTAGTCCTGTTTTTTTTCTATTTTCTTATTCTATTAGGGCACGTATCATGTCATTCATTGCCGTTATGATCTTTCTGTGTATAACACAACTTTCGAAAACGGGTATAATGTTCCCTGCCTATATGGAACAGAAAAAAGAATTTTAATGGTTCTTATTGTTGTTACTTTTATCAAGTTGTTGATAAAGAATTTTAAACTATTTTTTGCTTGTATCTTTACCTACCAAGTCTACCGGCACCAGGTGCGAGCGGTTGCGTCGCGTTACCCAAACAACGCAGACAAAGCACAACATGCGTAAAAGGCAGAGAAGTATCAAACAAGCCACTGGCCCAAAAAAATCTCCCCCTCCCTTGATTGTGACAGAACGAATTTAGATATTCAGTGAACCACAAGTCCACCGGTATCGAGCGCGAGCGGCTGCGTCGCGGCACCGGAGCAAAGTGGGGAGAGCTTAGCGCTGCGTGTATAAAGCGCAAAAACTCAAGGAAGTACCGATAAAAGAAGAGGTTATTCAATGAATCACACAAGTTCACTGGTACCAAGCGCAAGCAGCTGCTTCGGCACAGGGGTAACATTAAAAAAGAAGTGCTAGGCGCAGTTTGTCGACGGGAGGGGGGGGGGGGCATTCTGCTTTCCATAGATGTGCCGACCCATCTAGGTAGCCTTTTCTCGAGTTGACACGTTTTAGGATGGTGGCTAGACGATCTTGCACCAGCTTCACAA